TTATATATATATATATACATATATATATATATGCATATATATATATATATGCATATACATATACATATATATATATATATGCATATATATATATATATGTGTACATTATAAAATGCTGAAGAATGTTTGATTATAATTCTTTATCCTATGCACTATTTCACTGAATTATTCTCCCTCTATATAATATAACAGCATCTTATCTATATACTGTATACTGTGTATAATATATAATATATATATATATATATGTACAGTACACTATATATATAATGTACATATATATATAAACATTTAAATGCTTATTAACTCTTCTTTTCTTCTGGTGCAGGGGTTCGCGCTAGGCAGCAGAAGCTACCCTTCATTTGCTGCGTAGAGAGAAGCTGCTGGGAGACAGTAGCAGCAAAAGAAGGAAGCTGGGTAGAGGTGCATGCAGATGGAAGGGGTGTTCAAATAAAAGAATTAAATCAGCAAGAAGCAGCTGCAGCAGCAGCAGCAGCAGCACAAACAGCAGCTGCAGCTGCAGCACCTGGAGGCAGAGAAGCAAGGAGACAGACGCAGTACAAACAGCAGCAGCAGCAATACAACCTCTCCAGGTAATGCGAGCAAATATGAAACAGCAAACACAAAATAAATAAATAATAAATATACATAAATTAAATATTATTATTTACTGTCGTTGCTGTCGTTATTATTGTTATTGCTATTCTTTTATTGCTATTCTTATTGTTATTGTTATTGTTATTCTTATTATTATTGTTATTATTATTATTATTAATCATTATTATTATTATTATTATTAGTTTGCATGCGCACTTTGCATGCAGCAGCTCCTCTTCGCATCCGCAGTTTTTCGTTGATATTTCGCTGGGGCCTCCTCGTTTATTGCGTGGTGAACAAATTACAATTAACAAGTGCGGCGCAAAGGCAGCCACTTGTGCGCGCCTAGAAGCAGCAGCAGCAGCAGCTGCTGCTGCTGCTGCGGGTGCTGCTGCTGCTGCTGCTGCACCTCCAGCAGCGACGACGTCGCCGCCAGCTGCAGCAGATAAACAGTTCGCCTTCAAGGCACCCAGGTAATTATATATTATAAGATACTTAATATACGTATATATATATATATTAGTTAATATATATATATATATATATATATATATATATA